ACAAACATAGAAAGCTCAATTACTGTATAATGTTTTTCCCTTTTTGGAAATACTGGAATCTGAGGTCATCCAATTAAGTGAGGTAATGGCAGGTTCAGGAACTACTTGTGATTGCAAGATGTAATTATGATTGGCAATTTAAATGGGTGACACTAGTTTCTAGTGCACAGATGTCAAACTCGCTACGTCACGTGACGTGTTGCGACGTATCATGACTCTGCATTGCTGGCAATGGGGTGGGCACGGCTTCGGTATGATGAAACCAGCCCATGGGCCGGCAGTTAGACAGCCCTGTTCTAGTAGAAAAAGAATGATTCTACACCTGGTGTATTTAACATATAAGGCTTTTTAAAGGCTTTATGTCCAATAACATAAATTGAAACCATTTTGATTCTAAGTATATAATTTGGATATACCTTCTCTCTGACAGCTAAGGTGTAAAGTTTTATACTATGGAACCTAATCATTTAAGAGCCTAGCTATATTCAGTCTCTCCATCTGCACTGCAATTAACTGTTTTCTAATTTTTTAGCCGGATTTCTGAACAATATTGTTAAATGTTAATAATAAGCATAAGTACCCTGTGGTAAGATGAGCGGCTAATAAATTTTATAAATAAATAATCAGGGGGTGTGCATTTCTGTGTGTAACATTTAAAAGTTTTATACATAGTATAGGTAAATATTCCTTAGACATTTTTTGTTACAAGAGTTTTTTTTTTCTTTGAATAGAGATCCCAGTACTCCTTCAAAGTTATTTTGTTCATTCCCCCCCCCTAAAATTACTTTTTTTTCCTTCCTGTATAGGCTGATATCAGCTGGTCAGTGAATGGAATTCCTAAAGGAATTATTAAACAGACCCTTGGGAATATTCCAATTATGGTGAAATCTAAGTTCTGTCATCTCCATAGCCTTTCTCCCAAAGGGCTTATCCAACATCATGAAGAAGAAGAGGTATAATTTAATTTGGCTGGTTTGTTTATAAAGCAAAATATATATTGTTATTTCAGTGGTTTTTAAACATCCATTTTAGAAGTACTTCTCTGAGATTTTTTTTTCCTTTGGAGAAATAAACATTTTTTCTTAAATATATATAATTAATATTTGATGATGATGGATTTCTTGAAGAGTTGTATCAGTTTTTAAAATGTAAAATCTAATGGTAATAATTCAGCACTTTGAAAATACAAAAAAACCCCACAGAAACTTAAGCAAATATTGCAATAGATAATAATTTAGATTGCCTGCTTTTCTGTACTTAGTCTTGAATATATTTCAAAAGATAGGGCTTGTGAAAAATAAAAGTTTCAAAAATTTCATTCCCCCCCAATTTTGTACTTCACTCAAAACTCTAGGTTCATCAGCTGAAATATTTGATTCTTTTTTGTCTGACAGCTCGGTTTATGATTAATTATCATTTCTTACACTTTGGGCAGGAAATGGGTGGTTATTTCATAATTAATGGAATAGAAAAGGTGATAAGAATGATGATTATGCCTCGGCGCAACTTTCCTCTTGCAATTATAAAACCAAAATGGAAATCTAGAGGCCCAGGCTACACACAATATGGTAACTTTTTACTTACATATTGTCTTTGTTCGCATCGTTTTACTATTTCTCTCAGTAGAAACTAGATATTTTAGATATACCATATTCTACAATTTTGTTTCTGATCTAATATGGTCTTTAATATTTTCTTTAGGACATTTTTTTAATCTGAACTGTGAGAAAGTCTGATAAATATGCATTGTGATTGCGTAGTATTTATATAGTTTTAAAGATTTAAACAACTTCAAGGTGAACAAATTATATTGTGGCTTAGAGTATTCTTGACCTAGGCCATTGTGAGACAGAAGGACAATAAATGGGAGAAAATCATATTAAACTGTGTTTAATATTACATGATAATCTTAATTTAAATTAAATGTGCTTTTCACCATACTCATTACTCATTCAGTCCTCATTCCTTCTTGGAGATTGATCCTCAGACAGGCCTTTTGATTGAAAATTCTAACATTCTCCTTATATTCAATCTCACACCAGTTGTGTTTGCCTTACGTAGTCCTTACGTACAACCACTCATTTAGCAACCGTTCAAAGTTACAACAATGCTAAATGAGGGGCCCTCAAAGGTTTCTTGGCATTACATGGTTTCTGTTTGCAACCTTCACAAACAACTTCCCACAAGCAAAAGCAAAATGTTCCTGCTCCTGCTGTTTCTTTTCCCAGTGAGCCCCTGGGCAGCATGGAGATCTTATACTCTATAGTGTTAGCCTGAAGCACCAGCCCGTTCTGTGTAGTGCCTGCCAGTAACTGACTGGCTTATCTGGGATCCAGTTTCATCATCTCTGGTGGTCACATACAGGGTTTCCTGCCTGGGCAGGGGGTTGGACTAGATGACCTTCAAGGTCCCTTCCAATATTATTGTTTTTGTTGTTGTTGTTATTACATGCAGCTCTTGCTTAAGAACCCACAGTTCTCACTTAAAACAATGGCAACAGGGACTGGCAGAATTGCTGTCACGAAGTGATGTGATCATGTCATGGTGCTCTTTATAACCACATTGCTTAGTGGAGGAACTTCTGCTCCCAGTTACCATTGTAACCTAAAGACTACCTGTACTTCTGTGTAGCAACTTGTTGCATTCAGCAAAAGAAAGGCCATGTATGCCTGCTGTCGAATGGCACAAGGCTAGCTAGGAATTCTGGGAAGCATACCTCTAGTACTGTACATTTGTAGGGCATAGGTTACCTGAATAAGGCAACTTTGATAGTAATACGAAACAGTAATATTAAGATGTGTTTCTTTTGATGGTGTTTAGGGGTCTCGATGCACTGTGTTAGAGATGAACATACAGCTGTTAACATGACCTTACACTATCTTGATAGTGGTTCAGTGATGGTGAACTTCATCTATCAGAGGGAGCTGTTCTTTATCCCGCTGGGATTTCTCCTTAAGGTATGTCATTATATTTTGTTCTCAAGGAGGTATGATTTTCAGAAGTATAAGATGTGGGACAATAACCTTGCTTGCAAAACCATAATAAGAATTAGTTCCATTCAGCTCAGCAGCAACATGAAGCAATAAAGAACAGGTAGTCTTCTTTTCTTAGGAGGCAGCATAGGGCCCTATTGTAGTAAACGTAGCTGGTGTAAATGGTTATTTACCACATAGTGACTGTGACTTGGTTCAGTTGTAGAAATCAAATCCTGAATTGGTTGATACAGGCTAATACAACATGTGTATCTCAAACACAGTTCAGTGACAAAGAAACTATTTTTAGATATTACTGTCTGCAGAGATGGGGTTCTATTTTTGGAAGGGTTTTGCCTTCTCCAAATCATTATGAAGCCACTATTATCAAATTATATAATTATATAATACTATATAGAATACTATTGATTAAGAATATGAATATAATAACTTCAGTAAATGATTTTATGAATTCTTTATTAATCAAGCCCCAAAACATCTAAAAATTCCAACTTTTTATTTTTCTGCTCCAGGCATTGGTTGGTTTCTCAGACTTTCAGATTTTCCAAGAACTGATTAAAGGGAAAGAAGATGATACTTTTTATAAGAATTGTGTCTCTCAAATGCTGAGGCTGGTCACAGAAGATGGCTGTGTGACCCAGAAGCAAGTGCTGATCTTCTTGGGGCAGCGCTTCAGAGTAAAATTGAACCTTCCTGATTGGTACTCTAATGAACGTGTTGGAGACTTCCTTTTCAAGTACGTACAACTGATTAGGATCAGACAACCCGATGTGGTGCATCTCAGAAAATTAACAATGTCCTAAGCATTTCCTAATTGAACTATAGTTTCTATGTTACATGAAGTGTTGCCTTTTAATTTGATCATCTAATGTATTGTATTGAGTTCTCAGTGTCATGCTTCACCAAGAATATAAATTACGGTTGGAGGCCCTATGAGGAAAGGGCCAGCTATATTTGGCCTGGAGGAATTAGATATGTTTGGCTTGAGAAGGATAGCTGCACAATAGTCATGACTGCATGGTTCATGTACATGAACAACTGTTTATCCAATTTCTACACTGCCCATCTCAGCTAAACAAACAGGGCAAATTCTTTATTTCCCTAAAATAAAGACTAAGGAAAATGTAATTGGTCTTTTGATTAAAAGAATTGCTATCTTAGAGTCACACGAACATTTTTTGACAAATTGTCCGGGAGTAGGGTGAATCATTAAATTCAGGGTCAAATTCATCTTGGGTTAATAATAGTTTTTCTCTGTTATTTGCAGACAGTGTAGATTTCAACTGAACGCTAGAAGAATTTTCAGATAGTTCTTGACTTATGATCGCTTGTTTAACAATGGTCCATAATTACGATGGCCTCGGAAAGAATGCTTTACAGTCCATGAAGCACTTCCAGTCATGGTCATGTGATCATGATGTAAGTGCTTGGCAACCTGTTCTCACTTTGCATCCCACAATCATGAGGGCCATTTGCAATTTTCTCTACTGGCTTCCCCAGAAAGTCAATGGGGAAGCTGGCAGGAAAGTTACAAGCTGCTGTTGCCTGCTGAGAGGACTCCCTCTTATCTCTGCGGGCTGGCTGAAAGAGCTGCCTCCCAAGGGGAGCTGAACTCCTTTGGCAGAATGCAGAAACCGAGCTGAAATCCTGAAGATTTCAGCTCCATTCTTGCACCCCGCCAAAGGAGTTCCATTCATGGATTTCCAAGGGTGAACCGGCCCCTGTGCAGGTTGTGTGAGAGTATCTCTCCACTCAAGGGCTTGAATTTCAGCAGTGAGGATTTTCAGCTCCTAAGCAGAGCCTCCCAGAGTTTTCAACACCCTCCCCCCAAGGCACCCCGCACTCCTTACCTGGGACTTCATCACATAACAACCTGTGTGATTGTTGAACAACCACACCAGGAGTGGCAGGATCGCAGTTGTTGAACAACAACTGAAATTCAGTTGTAATCCAGTTGTGGTCATAAGTCAAGGACTACCTATTCTTGATAGAATTAGGAACAAAATTGTTTGGAAATTCTCTTATTGATCCTTTTGTTTTTAAGTACTTCTAAAACATAGGCAAAGCCACATATCAACAAAACACTGCTGCAAGCAAATTTATATTTATCTTTCCAGGGTTGTATAATAAGTCTCACGGCCTTATCTAACGGCAAAGAATTCATAGCTCTTGGTATATTGATACGTTTGAGATATTTTGACCTTCAAATCTCATGAACCCTAGCCTGTATTCCCAGAAGAAAAGCATTGTGGGATTTATAATCAAAATCTTCTGAAGGAAGTTGGTTACTTTTTTCTACATTAATATACTGAATTTATATTAGGATATCTATGGATTAGTTTTTTCTTAAACCACATTGAAAAACAGGGTAGACAGTGAATGCTGCTTGACTGGGAAGATGATTAAGGAAATTCAGAGGGTGATTTTGTTCTTATTAATTGTTCCTATAGCCATTGCATCTGCATACATTTGAAAACGAAAGCTGAGAAATTCTACTTGCTTTGTCTCATGACGCGAAAGCTTTTTACTTTAGCCAAAGAGGGTTGCATGGAGGACAATCCTGACAGCTTAATGAATCAAGAAGTGCTCACCCCAGGACAACTTTACCTCATGTTTTTAAAGGTAATGCTTTTACATTTGTCCCCTCTTCCCTTCTTTTCCCTCTAAACATGGTTATGCACACATGTTCCACTGCTGAATTCATATAATGTGTTCAGCAATAATGTGATTTTAGGATTATCATGCCTGAACTACCATTTTAATTTGTAAACTATAATTTACCATAGGTCAGGAATTAGCCTTTTGATCTTTTGAAGAGTTGCACGTCATCTGGTAAGGTGACAATCTCAGGGGCATGGCTGAAACTTCTGAGCCTCTTGATTATCAAATTTTGAGTAGTATAGAGTTTGGAATGGGAGTAGGAGGCCTTCGGGGAATAAATCACTCCCATTCCTGTCCTTAAAATCTGAAAATTGTTCTACTAAAATTCTTGCCAATTTGAATATATAATCTTGGTCTATAAATGGAATGCTGGGCAGCTGCAGGTTGGCACTCCTGGTTTAGCGTTTCATATGATGTATGATTCGAGCCATTGTTTTCCATGTAATAATTACCCAATATCTGTTGTGGTGAGACACATGGAAATACCCTTTTTCTGATTCCAATGTTGTATTTTCAGTCTCTACCTAGGCTTAATAAAATATGAGCATGCTTAGTTTCCTTGGATAAAATGGTTACAAATTGGATCAGTTTTCAGTAAGAATAGTGGCCTCATGCCAAGAAATTTGATAACAGCACAAAGAGGGAGCCTGGTTATTTGACTATTTTCATAGATTCTTCATCTGTCAGTCTATGTTTGTGCTAATTTTGGATGGTTCTCCTCCTGCGTATTTCTCATTTTTACAGAGGAAAGTCCATATTATTCCTGCAAACAATCTGAATTCACAAGGAGGCTAAATATCAAAACCAGAGACACTGATTGCAGTGTTGCAGAAATGGCATTTATATTGGATGACTCAAGGATTTTTTTCACTAGTATAGATACTTCTGATTTGTAAAACAGCAGGAGAGTTCCTAATATTTCAGCGACTTTGTTTCAAATGGGCACTACATTTCTTTAAAACAATAGGACATATGTCACCATCTACATTTTCCTTAACGTTGCTTGGATCAAGTCTGGAAGCTGTCAACATGTAGATTCTTTCTGACCTTGAAGCTGAAACCTTTCCTCTTTATATAAGGAGCCATGATCAAGAGGTGTGATGAATCCATGGCTTTGTATTACATTGTTCCAACTCCATCCTTTCTTTGTTGCAAATCCCACTGGTGTTTTATCTATAGCATTAAGTCATGGAGTAAATTGCCAGAAGCTAGTGACAAAAAGGGCATCATCTGAGGAAGTTGAGCATCCAAGAAAGTTGAGTTTCAGAATCTTACAATGGCTGTTTGGGTTCAAAGTATGTGTTGACCCTCCATTTAAAATACAGTGACTAAATTACTATTAGTAGACTATTTAACATTTTCTTAATTTACCTAACACCTCTTACAGTCTAGTCTTAAATGTCTATAAATCAAGCTTACTGAAATTACCATTTAATTGGATATACTTCATATGGTAACATAGAAGGTGTTTGTTTTAAAGCCCTTCTATCTTATTTTCATCCTGTCTTTCAGGAGAAGATGGAAACTTGGCTACACTCAGTTAAACTAGCATTAGATAAGAAAGCTCAGAAGTCAAATATAACAATTACTTCAGAAAACATGATAAAGATTCTTGGCATGGGAATAGATCTCACCCGGATGCTTGAATATCTCCTGGCAACTGGAAACCTGCGCTCAAAGTCAGGTAGGATTGTCTGCAATCTAATTATGCATCTGGCTTTGTTTCTGACTGAATTGGTACAGCCTTATACTCCTAAAGGGCCTTGAAATATTTAATTGAATTATTGAATAATGTTAGATGTGCTATTCAAGTCCAGAGTTTTATGAAAAAGCATTTTCAAAAAATAATGACTTCCTTTTTTGTGTAATGTATACTGTGCTGGATCTCTCCTGTTTGAGCCTAATAGCAGAGATTGCAATCATAGTTCATAAAAAAGTTATACTGAATTTTTAATTTCATTTCTCCATTTGAACCAGTGATGCAAATTGCAAAATTGTCAAAAATTTCCAGCTCAGCAGACCTACTGCTAGATCTTACCCGATAGTATACTAGGGATGTATTGCACATATCCACACTTACTGGTGTCTTCTTAAAAGAGCATATTTTCCTGGTTTTGTATTGATTGGTTATATGCCATTAAGTAGGTGTTTACCCTTACTGTAGAAACCACAAAGTAGCTGCATAATCCCAGGAAAATACTTGTTTCAGTTAAGAAGGTGCATGGCTTCTGTGCACTACCAGGAAATTGCAATTTCCTGAAGAAAGCAATTTTGGCTTCATGTATGAAGTACATATATTCCTTGTGTGTTTGTGAATCTTTTAGCAAGTTCTCTATAGGTATTTTTGGGCAGATCATAAGCAAAACCTAGTCAGCTTCTTCATATGTGCCACTAAATCTTAATATGGCTTAATGGCACAGAGATAGTGTGCCTGGCTTTTCCCATGAGTAGCTGCAGCCAGCATGGTATGAAGAGCGAAATCCACAGTTTGCTTAACATGATTTTGTTCTTTGCCTTGTTTTAAAGCAGACATGTCAAACTCGTGATGTCATGTGATGTCGCGCAACGTATCAGGACAGTTTTGCCATTGCCGGCAATGGGTTGGGTACGGCTTCTGCATGAAGCGTCCGGCCTGTAGGCCGGCAGTTTGACACCCCTGTTCTAAAGCATTGTAGGTGGGTAGTTATTTGTGATGAGATTTCCATGTTGCCTAGCTTTTCTCACTCTAAAAACATCTAGAAAAACCAGTTCAGATAATTCAAAATAAGAATTAAAAAAAACCCATTCAGATCTGCTGTATGTGCAGATATATCACAACTCTTTAAATGTGTTTATTTTTATATGGATTTGTATGTGAATTCTAAAGTTTTTTTACTTTTAAACCACCCAGAATTATTTAGAAAGTGAGATGAGTGGTGTAAAAATTTGATTAAAAAATAACATTTTGTTCCCAAATTTTGATGATTTGAATGTTAAATGTTAAATTTTCTTAGGATGGAGTATACAAACTAAAACCCATATAATAAACTTACATATTTGAGTTTTGTTTGTTGTATTCCAAAGTGCAATTTTTTCTCTTTGTGAGACTATATTTTTGGGGTCAGCTCTTTTCAGCTAAGCCGCTAATGAAATTACATTTCTGCAACCAATCAGCAACACAGGGTAAAAAAAAACTGCATCCGAAAAGGAGATCAGAGAATCCATGCAATGCCTGCAAGACTTCTTGTTCTTTTCTGATCTCTTAAATCTTAAGAGTATTGATATTCCCTATTTAAAATCTGAAGTTCTAACAGTTGCCACGCATCTCACTGAGAAATACAAATGCAGCTAGAGCTGAGTGTTTGGCAAACTCTGTCCCTGATAATAGCATCAAACTGCTACTGTTCACAAACAATTGCTCTAAAAACAGAATTGGAGAAGATCAGATTTCTATTTCTCCCCCTCCCCCTTATGACTTTCCAAGGTTTGGGCATGCTGCAAGTGTCAGGTCTATGTGTGATAGCAGACAAGCTGAACTTCTTCCGCTACCTCTCCCACTTCCGCTGCGTGCACAGAGGAGCTGCTTTCATGAAGATGAGAACCACAACAGTGCGCAAGCTGTTGCCAGAGTCCTGGGGCTTCCTTTGTCCTGTCCACACGCCAGATGGCGAGCCTTGTGGCTTGATGAACCACATGACAGCCCCCTGTGAGATCGTAACCCAGACGTTCCACACTGTGTCTCTGCTACCGTTGCTTTGCTCTTTAGGTGAGTGTTGATCATTTGAAATGGTCAGAAAATGCTTTTATGGGAAACCAAATTAATACCAAGAAGATCACTTTTGCAGAGGTATAGTTTCTGCATGTGTACAACCATTTAAAAAAGCAGGGGTCTTTTCACTGGATTTGAAGTATCTTAAAATTCCCTGGAAGATGTATCCGAATCCTCAGATCAACAGCAATACTCCAATGATCAGTCTTTCTTCATAAAGTACCACTGCATCTTAACACTATTCTAAAACCATCCTATAGATCATAGAATAGGCAAGCCAGGAGCAGCCAAAGTAGCCATGTGAATCTGGCACAACTCCAGTAACAATTCAGAAAAAAGTATATCACATGCACTTGCATGCATTCTGCAGCAGTTATTCTGAAGGATTTGTAGAAGCCTACTGGTAGTCCTCGACTTACGACCACAATTTTTGTCACTAAGCAAGGCAGTTGTGAAGTGAGTCATGCCTGGTTTTATGATCATTTCTGCCACGATTCATAAGCAAATCTGGCTTCCCCCATTGACTTTGCTTGTCAACAACTGGTTGCGAAGGTCGCAGGGGGCAGTCACCTGACCCTGACATGCGGCAACCAATGTATATACATGCCAGTTGCCAAGCACCTGAACTTTGATCATGTGAATGTGCTGCAACGGTTAGAAGTGTGAGGATCGGTCATAACTAACTCTTTTCAGTGCTGTTGTAACTTCAAATGGTGCTAAATGAATGGTTATAAGGTGAGGGCTATCTGTATTTACAAGCAGATTATCTCTGCCTATGTAGTTGAAAATAAAGGCAGGAGAGAAATCCATTTGATAACATCTTTTTATGTGAACTTACATAATTCATATTCCTCAAAATGGAATGGAATTGCACCAAACTGGATGCTTTTCAACAATGTTGTAATGCAGTGTGTGATTTAAGTTAATGGCAAAGGTTACACAAAAATGTGCACAATTTGCACTTGACATGCTTTGTGTTGAAAAAAAAATACACTATAAATTTAGAGAGAATATAGATAAAGGGGTATAATTGAAGAAATGCCCACCAATTATTGTGCAAATTTTAAAACATTTAAAAGTATGTGGAAGCAAGCCAAAATGAAACTAGAATGAGAAAAAACTTAACTGAGAATGAAGACAAATTCATCCATCCCTATTTTTTTAAAAAATCCCGCCCAATAAGGGCAGCCACACAGAACTAGGTAGACTAGAAGCACAAAGGATTTTTCATACATTTTCCTACAACCTCAAACTTGTGTTTACTGATCCCTGATGGTATTTATCAGAGGCCTGCCTTCTTTTAATTTTAAATATTTGACTATTTGTTATCACAAAAGAACCTTAAACTTGTAGCAATCCAGTGATTTATTTTTATTTAATCAATTTCTTCTCCATTCCCTCCTAACAAAGATGCTAATATCTACATTATTAATAACATATAATTTATAACTTTTAAGAACTGGTATTTGTATCCTCATTTTCCCTTTTATAGTGTTTATTATGCCTTTTAGATAGTAAACCTGACGATAGATCTTGCCTTGCTATTTATATTTATAAGCCGTTCTGGAAGCTTTTTGGCTGAATATTGAGGAAAATAAGAAATGCTTTTAAGAAATAGCATTAGGTATACAGTAACATAGTAGGAAAAAACCCTCCAGGAGTTAACTATCTATTGGTATTTAAGTTAAAATAGTGCTGGAATAATATTTTTCACTTGCAAGAAGAATATGAAAAAAGATTTTTTTAAAATATTTGGTCTCAAGATGTTCCACATATTATAATCTGACCATCAGATGAATCTCAGAAAGCCTTGAAATTGTGTAAGTGGACTATATCAACCAGTCTCTAAAATGAATGAACTGGCTTGGGAAAGAACACTATCTCAAGTAGCATGATTTAAGATATTTCATTTTTCTGAGCCTAATCTATGAAATAAACACTAATTATTTTCCAGAGGAGGACATGAGGCACATAATGAGATTTTGACCAATTTGTTTAGTTTGTGGTTAAATTGGGGCTTTTGATACATTAGGTTCAAATGCAACATGTTTTGATGGCTTTAACTGGTTTTCACATTTTCCAATCTTTTACACTAAAAAGATATTCTACCATTGTCTGCCAGATACTTCCATCCATAATAAAGGCTCCTTGATCAAAGCAAATCTCATCTGTGTCTTTTACCTATGCTGGGGAATTTTGGGAGTTGTAGTCCAAGAATACTAGTGAGAAGATGTTAAATTGGACCCCACTAACTGTGTGAAAAGTTTCTGTGTGAAAAGTTTCATGATAACATGATAAGCATGGCCACAAAATATTTCCATAGGTGTTACCCCAGTTGATGGTGTACCAAACCAACCTTATGCTGAATGTTATCCAGTTACATTGGATGGAGCTCTGGTGGGCTGGATAGAGAAGGATCAGGCTCCTGATCTTGTGGAGACTTTCAGGCACTTCAAAGTGAGTCTTCTTTGCTTAACTTCAATATATATAGTATATATCTCATTTCCACTCTTGGAAAATTGTGTCATTTCATTGATTGGGTGATTGGCACCCATGATTGTCATTCAGAATTAGATGATTTTTCCAGGTGCATTTCTACTTCCTTCAAAAGTCATAGCTCTTGCTGAAGTCACTTTATGTTTCTTCTTCCTCACTTTGAATTCTCTTTAAATCTTAAAAGGCTTATTACTACTACTTTGTGAATTAGTTTAAATACTATTTCTTCTTTCTGCTGAAGGATATAAAAATAAATGATTTTGAGTCTTGATATTTGTTAATAGGCAATGCAAGAAAAGAAAATTCCAGGTTGGACAGAAGTGGTTCTTATTCCGATGACAGGGAAACCCAGTCTCTACCCAGGACTTTTTATTTTCACTACCGCTTGTAGGATGATGCGTCCTGTACAAAACCTGGTGTTGGGGAAAGAAGAATGGATTGGTACAATGGAACAGGTAACACTTTTAATATTTATAATAAAGCATCAGCTAATCCAAGACCAATTTATTATATTTCAACTGTTGGAAACTCATATGTGAGGTAAAATGCATTTTGGGGGAGGGGGTGAGAAAGAGAGGCAGAATAGGTCTGCCTAAATTACACTAGGTATAAGTTGTATTGGAGAATGTCTTGGATACATTTTCAGAATTCTTCTACATTATCAGAAAATCTTTCCTGAAATCCATGTGATTCTTGTTTCCTGACCTTGCCAGTCTCTCAGAACTTGATAGAGGGCACCAAAATGAAATGGGATAAAAAGTGGGCAAAATCGTGCAAGACTGACAAATCTTAAAGATCTTGACAATTCTACACTTGCATTTTTCCCCATCAATGTTGCAAGCTTTTGTATTTTTGTCCCTGAAAGCATTCAAACATTTGTTGAAAAAGTTGGGGATGTGAGCTTTGTGTTGTTGTTTTTTAAAAAAAATACTTATTTGGGGGTAGACTACTATTTGGGAGTGTTGGGAGATCCTGGAAGTGTATTTTTAACCACTGGTAATAGCTTAGTTGAAACCTTTTTCTTAAGATTAGCAAGTGTCCATTTTAAATAATAAGTAATAGACCATTGTGCTCACTTAATCTCAGATTTCTGTGTTTTCAAATGCCACTAGCTCAAGAATAAAACATGTTTCGCTTGTGCCCCCCCCCCCCCCAAAAAAAAAAATTAGGCTGAAAAAGTACACTCGTTTGAATCTCTGGGGAGCTGGGTCAGTATGTATTCTATAATACTGAGCAGTTCCTAGTGTTTCTCTTGCAATTTAGAACAAATTGTAACAATTTGTAGAATTGTAGAGTTGCAGTTGATAACAGCATCATTAATAAGACCTCTGAGTTTTGTCCAAGCAATATTGGCATATGTAAGGCCATTAATTCTGGTTGCTGCCTTTTATAATTTTGGATATTTTAACTTGGGCAGATATGCTTTTTTTAAGAGATACATGATGAGATATGATGCCATTATCATGAACATTGTCATAAACTGTAATATCAAGAGCATTGAAAACAATGGCCTTCTGGATATTGCATATTAAGACTGAGTTTCTCTGCAGTGGGCTGCTAAAGTTTTATTGGATTAGTTCTGCAGAATGAATATTCTTGTAATAACAAGAACTGGAACTGGAAGAAGTTCAGTGGATTTGATAGCTTTTGAAAGTGATGGAAATTGGGTTTCTCTTAGGTATTCATGAACATTGCAGTGTCCGAGGATGAAATTGAACCTGGGTTGACCACTCATCAGGAGCTTTTTCCCTATAGCATGCTAAGTGTGGTGGCATGTTTCATTCCTTTCTCTGATCACAACCAAAGTCCGAGAAACATGTACCAGTGTCAGATGGGTATGTATTTATTGCTTCTTAACTAGGAATTGTTCAATTATTTTCATAATATGCATCTTTGTAATCAAGAAATGACAGGCAGAAGTAGCCAGACCTACACATGACAGGTCCAAGCTCACTATTTTATTCTATTCTGAGGGTGGAGGTTTGTTCTCTGAGATTGTGGGTTGCTTTCCGAACATTTTGTTACCGGGCTAAGTAACATCTTCAGCAGAGTTTAGGGCAAACATGTCAAACACAAGGCCCGGGGGGCGGATGCGGCCCGCGAAGTGGTTTCATGTGGCCCGCGAAGCCATCCTGGAAACAGTGAGGGAACGGCCCCCGCTGCCTTGGCCCTGGCCCAGGCCAGCCGGGAACCAATGTACAATTTTGTGGTGGCCATCTTGGCATTTGCCCCGGTGGACCATGCCTTGGCACTTGCCCCAGTCCCACCCCCTTCTGCCAGAGACCCTCAGATCTGTCCCACTCCTGCCCAGGCCCCCACAGGCACCCTTGACGCGAATGATGTAGAACTGGCCACGCCCACCCAGTAGGCCACACCTACTCCATCCACGCCCACCCAGTAGGCTGCACCCACTCTGGCCACACCCACCCGGCCCCCAAGGGCAACCGCAATGCGCATGCGGCCCTCAGTGAAATTGAGTTTGACACCCCTGGTTTAGGGGATGTCAATGTCAGTATTATTCTATTCTGCCTATTACACAAGAATCTCCCCAGACTGCCAGCCTAAGCCTGGGAACAGATGGATAAGATTCTATGGAGTTTAAGGGGGAAGTAACTTCTAGACATATTGTGTCTGCGCAAGGACTCAAAACTAAATCCACACTTGAGGCCTCCCCCTTTGCCTAGTTAAGTATTTCCTAACAAGAAATATGTGCACAGGAGTTATATACAGGTTTGTAAGAACGTCCATATTTTGTACAACTATAGTATCAAAAAAAAAAAAGGAATAGAACACAAATAAGGAATACTCCAGAAAAAAACAGTAAAATGCTGAGTGGTAGGAAATGAGGGGAAGAGAGATAGACTATTGGCAGCATAAATAGAATAGCAAATTTAGTAAAAAGTGAAGTTGATTACTATAAATAGGAGTATTTTATGCTACATTGTTTTGTTGCATGTCACATTTTTGTAAAAGTTACTTCTGTACTTTGATCCTTTGCTCTTTCCAATTTCATTTATAATATTTACTATATTTATCAAAAAGGAAGATGAGGTTTTTTCCCATTAAAATTACGTTGACATGTATTTATTTGCTTATTTAACTGATATTTATATCCGTTCAGCTCCAGAGCCTCTTAGTGGCTAATATCCAAATAACTACTAATAAAATGCAGTAATTAACATACTGTAAATATAGTAAAAAATAGTATAAAACAAAAAATGACAAAAAACTTACACAAAGGGAACCCAGGCATACCTGTTCTTTTGATGCCACAAAATGCCTGCTGTTTTTCCACAGACACTTCTGTCCTTTTCTTATAGATGTTTAATAACATGGGAGAGAGCTTAAAGTTCAAGGCACGTGTAACTGCAACCCAACTGATTTCTCATCTTTCTTAAAAAGAGGAAGTTGGGAGCTGGGTGGCAGTCATCTAAGATAATTTAAAAGCAAGACTTTTTGAGTTGGGGTGCTCCCAATTACATTTTTCAAGTTGGCAGCCATTATCCCCTTTCTCAAAGAGGCATTGCTTATCTCTGAGATCCCTACACTTCATTCTCTCCCCCCTCCCCCCTCCCCAGCTTCTCAAAGGGCTAGATTGGGCAAGGAGCCAACATGCTGGTGACCGAGCACATTTCACAGAGGACCCTGTTCATATCAGTGACGCATTTATTCAGCCAGTCTTCACGGGAGGCTGAGGGATGATCTTTCAACCTGCATTCCCCAAAAGGACATAGGTTAATTAGAGTTAAATAGAGTTGTTGGATGACATTCCTCTGATGCAACAAGAACAGGGCTGCCCTGATGAGACAGTGCTGACCTTGTGTCTTCAGAGATGCCACATTCATTCTGCCACTATTGCAGAGGCTTCCTGCTTTATAAACCAAGGAGCACTTCAGGACTGCAGACTGAGAGGATTCTTAGGCTGGGGCTCACATTATAAATGGGCAATTGAGACATACACTCTTTAAGGGAAACAGAGAAGCCATTTCTCTCACTGAGGGAGAGAACAAAAGGGTAGAGATGGAGAACCTCTTCTACCCTAGGATTCCATACCTATTTTTCTGGAAACCTTTTTCTCTAGGACAGGGGTGCCCAACCTACCGGGCCGTGGCCTGTTTGACTCACGTGAGCAGCGAGCTCCAGCACTCACAGCCCCACTTGCTCGAGCACCGGGCGTGCGCACTCAGCGCTCACACAGATGAAGTTGTGTGCCTCCCCCTTGCACAAAACCATCCCCTCTTCCCCCTCCCCCTGTGCTGGGCCGCCAACCCAGAAAAGTTGGGGAAAGCTGCTCTAGGAACAGCAAGGGACTCTTATGCCTGATTGCAGATACGTGTCCTTTTTTTGTTGTAGTGGTTGTTCTGGCTCTACCATTTTGGAAATAAGATTTTGGACTAGTATGGATGTGTGTATCTCCAGTATGTGTACTATATCTGTTGTTTAATCTCCTTAAAGTTAGAAACATAGTTTCACTAGACACTGGGATCCAGACATTACCAGCCTGGCAGAGTTGTAGTCATGTTTGTAGAGCTTCTCTCATGTGCTGACTGTAGAGTTAGTATGAAGCAAACAAGAAGGTTAATCCATGTCAATTTTATTTTTACATATTGGACATGTTACATTGTCCACTGTAACACTGAAGTTACATTGAGTATATTCTTAGAAAGGAGAAGAAGGGATTAAATGTTCAGTGGCAGAAAAGGAAGAAATTGAACTGAGAAATTTGGACTGCTCACTGAACAAAATAGGGAAAGGAAAGGAAATTTGTATCTTTACTCCTGTTCTATCTCTTCAATTAGCAAAACCTCTGTGGTCTGAAACAGAGGGAATCTTTTTCCATAGCCAATTGCCTATTAATGGTAGATTGTTATCATTTTAAGTGAAAACCTGAAATTTACAACCAATTTATGGCCATTCCCTCAATGAAAGTTGCTATCTATTTTGAATACATTTTCCAACTGTAGATAATCATTCTGTGTTTTTTTTTATTTCCCCTTCCCTCTTCTACCCCCACCTGTGGCTCCCAGGTAAGCAGACAATGGGTTTTCCACTTCTGACCTTCCCGTATCGATCTGATGACAAACTATATCGGCTTCAGACTCCTCAAAGCCCGTTAGTTCGGCCATCCATATATGATTATTACAATATGGATTCTTATCCCATCGGAACAAATGCAGTCGTTGCTGTGATCTCCTATAGTGGTTATGATATGGAAGATGCAATGGTAAGGCCATAGTAAAACAGATGTGGATAGGAGGGAATTTTCAGGGTACTTTTCTTTTTCTTTCTGTACCTGTGAAAAATCACATGAAATATGATAAACTTGATTTTCCCAATACAGGTAGTCCTCAACTTACAACAGTTCATTTAGTGACCATTCAAAATTATAATGGCACTGGAAAAAGTGACTTTTGTCCGTTTTTCACATTGCAGCATCCCCGTGGTCATGTGATCAAAATTCAGATGACTGGCAACTGACTCATATTTATGACAGCTGCAATGTCCTGGGGTCATGTGATCACCTTTTGTAACTTGACAAGCAAAGTCAATGGGGAAGCCAGATTCACTTAACAACCATGTTATTAACTTGACAGCTGTGGTGATTCACTTAACAACTGTGGCAGAAAGATTGTAAAATGGGACAAAACTCAATAAATATCCCTTAGCAACAGAAATTTTGCACTCAGTTCTGATCATAAGTCAAGGACTACCTGAAATGATCTTAACCTCTGTGGTAAAAATATTTCTGTCTCGTCAAGTGGGAATGAAAAGTTATTCTTTGTAGAAAGCACCTGACGAGAATTTTCTTGAAAGGAGTTGCATACATTAGTATCATTGCTTAAATAAAGATCACCTATTAGTCTACATTCACTATAACATATCCCAGGTTAAGAGGTGGTTTTAAACTTCAAAAGCAACAATTTTCATTTAACTTGGAAATGTTAAGCTTAACTTTTTGTTTAAGCTTAATCTAAACCATAAAAGTTCTGCCTGTCACCATTCAAGTCTTGTTGGCCTGGAATATCTTTTGAAGGTGAGATAGCAATTTCAGGCACTTTTAAATCCGCGCAGCCCTTCCCCAAACACCAGCAGCTCCAAAGTGATGCGATTTTGGTGTGTTGTGCTACAGGCTGTGAACCCTTCCTGTGCTGTAAGTAGTACCCAACACATTTGGAGGTGGGTTAGGCTTTGTAGAAAATGGGGAAATCTGAAAGTAGCTATTACTGTGTTTCCCATTATGTGGGAAACAAGATCATTTGCACTTACAAAGGCATTGTTTCTTTAACTCGGTGTGAACTTGTATCTCCTTAGATCCTGAGCAAGTCTTCTTGGGAGAGAGGATTTGCACATGGCAGCATTTACAAGACAGAACGCATTGACCTTGCAGAAAAAGTAAAGCAAGGAGAAGACAATCTAGTGTTTGGGATTGGGCATGATAAACCTGTGCAGAATTTGGACCTGGATGGCCTGCCCCACATTGGAGCTAGACTTCAATATGGAGATCCTTACTATAGCTATGTGAATCTCAACACAGGGGAAAGCTTTGTGACCTACCATAAGTAAGTGCTGGTTATTGGTGTTTCAGCATTGTTTCCAATAGAAAACTGGAAAATGCTTTTTGCAAATCACATAGGTGTCTCTCAATTGTTTGGGTACTGTAGCATAATAACATAAGCATGGCCCTGTTGGATCACATCCTTGGCCGATCTAGTCCAGCAGTCTTACAGTGGTCAACCAACTGTACAAGATAGATTGTTTGTCTCCAAGCAGATGACCTTCAGAGGCAGTCACATTACTATCAAAATTAATAGCCATTGATCCCCAGCAGGTAGCTTGCCTATCTAAACAATTCAAAAATATTGCCTATAGAAGAAAAAGTGTGAGCTATGAAACTGTGTCCCCCCTCTGGAATGTGCAAGTTGTCACCCACTTTTCCAAAGATGTTGAGTAAGCGACCTTAGGAAAGCCAGTTTCTCATTTCCCACACTTTTTCTACAAGCATTTTTTCCCTCTCCCTCTCCGTAATTTCTCTAGTTGCAAGATCTTGTTTGACTTGCTTCCTTATATATCATTTTTACTATTGATGCAAAAAGAAGATAATGGAAGAAGTTTGATAGGAAAAGGCCCTTCCTCTTCCTCCCCACCAGGCTATTTTAGTGGTGTATTGCCTCTGGATGTGGTGGTGTGTAGTTGTGAATGCCACTAGTAAACAATAAAATTAGTGAATTAATTTAATCCCCATTTGAGGCTAACTGAATTGCCGTTCTCCCACAAGCATCAAGGAAACCCATAAATTAGCTATGTAGTCTATGTGCAGAGGAAAAAATAATATTTTGTCCAATTCCTTAGAATCTACTTGTCAATCTTATTTGGTGATCCCAACTTTTACACTTATAAGGGAAGAAGGGAAAACAATCTTTTTCTTCTTTCTGTGTGTCACAAGTAATTATATACAGTAAAACTCATGTTTACCTCATGAAAACAGCCATTTCTGCCTTGGAGGCAATTTTTTTTTCCTGTTTTCATTATCACTTTGTAAATCTGTATTGAATACTCAACCATCTTTAAAATTCCTCAGCAGCTTGGTAAAAGTACTTTCGGTATTTTAATTTTATTCATATAGAAACAAAGTGTTTGTGGGCAAAACATGACTATATCTGATTGAGAATTGTCTGACTCTGAGGTAAGAAACAGGGAGCTGTTGCTTGTGTAGCTGGCAGCATATTTGACTGTTAATCTCTTGGATATGATCATGCCACTGTAAATGCAATGAAAAGGAAGAGAAGTTAAGTGACAGCATTTTATATTTATGGCACATTTCCTGGTGCCTGGACTCCAAAGTCCAGATAACTTTTTGGAAATTGTATTTTCAAATGTTATCCACGATATTAGATGATGTGTCCAGCTACCTCAATCTAACACTCTGTGTTAGCAGATGACATAAGCTTTGCCAAGTCATAGGAGAAGGCACTTTCAAGAGATATGAGTTTTTTGAACTGAAAGTCCATTTGGACCCATAATTTTTTGACTTCTGAAAGCCATGCTCTGGTATTAAACTATAGACTTTAAGGACATAAATAATTTTCCTTTTCTACAAATACTTTGTTCTGTGTGCAAAACAACCTGAAAACAATTACAGTTAAGATTCAGAATGCTATTACATTGAGATATACACTGGTATGTCTTTATATGTATAGCATTAGCATGGTTATCTTCACCTGTTTAGTCTCTGCCTTATGCAAGTACTTATTTCCTCCCAAAATATGTTAGAAATGCCCTGCAGGAGCTCTTCTGGTAGTGGTTAAACTCTTTCCTTTTTTCTAGGAATAAGGAAATTTGTATTGTAGATAACATCAAGGTGTGCGGCAATGATACTGGAACTGGAAGATTCAAGTGTGTATGCATCACTTTCAGAATACCCCGAAATCCAACAATTGGGGACAAATTTGCCAGCCGTCATGGACAGAAAGGCATCTTAAGTCGATTGTGGCCAGCTGAAGACATGCCCTTTACCGAAAGTGGAATGGTGCCGGACATCCTCTTCAACCCTCATGGTTTTCCATCCAGAATGACCATTGGCATGCTGATTGAGAGCATGGCAGGAAAATCTGCCTCGCTTCATGGACTCTGTCATGACGCAACCCCATTTACATTTTCTGAAGAGAATTCCGCTGTTGAATACTTTGGCAAGTTGCTGAAGGCTGCTGGCTATAATTACTATGGGACAGAGAGAATGTACAGTGGGGTATCTGGAGTAGAGCTTGAAGCAGACATTTTCATTGGTCTTGTGTATTATCAGCGCCTGAGGCACATGGTGTCTGACAAATTTCAGGTGAGGACTACAGGAGCCCGAGATAAAGTCACCAACCAGCCCATTGGAGGAAGGAACGTTCAGGGTGGCATCCGCTTTGGGGAGATGGAGCGGGATGCTCTGTTGGCTCACGGCACGTCCTTTTTGCTGCATGACCGTCTCTTCAATTGCTCAGATCGTTCAGTGGCCCATGTTTGTGTTGACTGCGGTAGTCTCATCTCACCTCTCTTGAAAGCTCCACCATCCTGGTCCACCACGCGTGCCCGACAATACGTTTGCGCCTCTTGTGACCAAAGTAGCACTATTGAAACAATTGCTGTCCCTTACGTCTTCCGCTGCTTTGTGGCAGAATTGGCTGCCATTAATGTCAAAGTGAAGCTTGATGTACAGTAATTATGGCAGCCTGAGCTGTCCTTTCCTAATTTTGTGGAAGTTGTTATAAAAGTACTTATTAATTTGTGTAGTGCTGTAAGATCAGACTGATATATATTTAAAAGGAAAGGGGTACTCAGCATATTGTCTACCCAAAAAAAATCACCCTAGAGATGTCTGGAATTATTTAATAAGCCAAATAGCATAAGTCTTGGGTCTTTTTAAAAGGATTGAATGCAATTTAATTTAATCCAATACTCCCTGTTTTCAGAAAGCTTGATCGTTTTTCTTTCACTCTTTGGGGTTCACATCTGTCGCTGACAGCAAAGAAAGGCGGGAAACGCAGGAAATGACATTCAGAAGCTTTTCCTATAGAAAACAAGTAGATGCTATGATGCCCCTGTGCCATTTTAGTGTTTAATAGCTGTCTACATTGTTCAAGCAGAACATTATTTTGACTGCAGCCTAATAGAACTGAGAAGTGATGTCAAAGTGCCTTTGTAGCACTTTCCTTGATGTGGCTATTATAAGGGAAGGAGAAAGACCAACATGATGGCTTGTTTTTTTCTTCTTCTCTCACTTCCCTTCACTTTCTTCAAAATTCAGTTGAAGACTGCAGCTACTACCTTCAGTTAAAGATGAGAGGAGTTCTGACTGATTTGTATTTAATAAATACCCAGAAAGTTTCTATATTATCTTCTCCCTCCATTTTGAGGGGAAATGGCTGTGCTGTCTGCTTGAGTTTTTGTTATTTGTTTGACATTCAGGCATGCCTGTCAGTCCTGAGCTGCATACGTGTCTTTTGTTATCTGTTTCCTGCATCTGGCAAGATGTCATGATTCGAAAGTGGCTTAGGAATGACATAGTTCTTGTTTTACTCTTTCCATTTTCCTAACATTGTTCACAAAGTAGGAGCAGAAACAAAATTGTAATTCATATTCTTACAATTTTTCTCTATTAAAGTACTTGCTGACTTTTTTTGGAACATTGCCAGAATGTTGCCTGTTTTGATCATAAACCTACAGAAAAAAAAATCTGTACTCTGTGGGAAAAAGACTGAGCTTTTTAAAATAAATTTTTAAGTCAAGCTTTCTTTGGTACTGATTTTAGTGGATTTCATTCTAGGTTAGTTTTAAAGTACTGTTAAGGCTTTCAACCAGAAAAATACATGTATAACTTAAATTAAAGTAATATAAATTAAAGTAATAATAAATAATGTATATTAATTGGGGATCATTACAGTTCACTGCATTTCGTCTAGTGCATTTGAGCGTGCCATGTGCATAAAACCAGAAGGTAGAAATCAAAGAATTAAAAAAAAACATGATTGGCAAACAATTTGTGTTCCTCAGTGAGGTTGTGATTAAAATGAAATTATTAGTCAAATTTCTAGAAAGTCATAAATTCAGTATTTTTATTCCTTCAATAATATCCGTTTTTGGCATCTGAATTAATGTAAAATTGACTAGATCAGTGAGCAGAAGGAAGGAAAAATAAAAACAGAAATTCAGGATCTAGCCCCTGTATTCCACCACACACATTTGGACATTAGTCCTTTAATCTATAGTAAAGTAACCAAGGCAACAGTTTCAGTTATGGGACGCCACAGTCTTAACATCATAGTTTCGTATCCTAATCTGTAGCCTGAATCACAAGGGGTTAGTAACGTTAGAATGGCTGCAGCTTTCATCCTTATGGAAAGTATCATGTAAGTATACCTTTACCCATGATGACCTTTTTTTTAATGACTTTTTGCACAGTGCACATAAATACACATCATTAAAAGGCTGAAAATTTATACAATCTTATACCTAAACTTTTTCTGCCTTAATGTACAAATAGCATACTTCAAAATACAGTAAAACATGGAGATAGCAAACCCCCATTTAGTAGACCAGATGCACAGTTTTTTTAAGTGCACTTTACCTCCAAATAAAAGATCAAAACTATTGTGGGTAAAGCAGTCTGGACAATGGTTGTGCCTAGAGTGGCTCTGGTAAAGGAATGTAGAGGTCATCTTGGAAGAGAGGAACGCTGAAAGGAGTGAAACAGCAACTCAGTTCGAGGAAAGTGGAAAGCGTGTGACAGGAACTCAAAATAGCTCTGCCTTTATTCTGTCTTGTATAAGATTAGCATTCAATATTCTGTTGTTAGACCTTATCACAATAAAGTAACATTCCTGGAATTATTGTAGTATCTTATTTCACTTAAGCCAGGGGTCCTCAACCTTGGCAACTTTAAGACTTGTGGACTTCAACTCCCAGAATTCCTCAGCCAGTTGAAGTCCACCAGTCTTAAAGTTATCAAGGTTGAGGACCCCTGACTTAAGCCTTTGTAAAATCAATCAAGGTTAATTAATCCTACCTTCTGTTGGGATTATTTATCCAAACAGCATTTTGTCATTATCAGACTATATGTTTATAACATTCTCCTTCCCTGTGAAACTTTATTTAGCAAGTGAAGGAAATCTACTGGTTGCTGTACTCTGG